GCCTTTCAATTTTTTTAATTTTGGGTTTTTCTCTTTCCTTTCTAGTTTCTCATTTTATTCGTAAGAAAATATCTTAAGATGAAAAATCGTCCAACATGATTTTGATTTACATCTCTACTATAGTGGTAGGTTAAAAATGCAGTTGAAATAACATATCTGTAATTTAATTGTAGATATAGAATGATTTTGTATCGATTTGAACAATATAAGAAATTTTCAAATTGCCTTTTAATAAAATAAGTCGCTGCAATTCCATTCTGTGCATGTTTCAATCACCAAATCTGCTAATCAATAAATTCAAACTCCTATAATGATGATGAGATTTATTGAAATAGATCCAAGACCCAAAAAAATTCCAGATCTGACAACCAGATCTGAAATGATTTCTTATCAAACAACAAAATTAGGATAAAAATAGAAAATTCTCATTAAAACTTCTAGGAAAAATAGAAAATTCTCACTAGAAACCTCTAGAAGAAACAAACGATTCTCAAATTCAAGGAACATAACTAGCAGACAATGATAGGGCACGTTTCAAATTCAAGTAACATAACAGGAGTTGGAGTGATAGAGGTGATAGTTGGAGTGTAAACAATATTTACTGTTTTATATTTGTCAACCAAAATAGATTTGATGACTAGAGAAGATTGAGGTTTATGAATTTTGATATGGAACAAATTGAGCAATCCTTCTGAGACAAGGAACAGCGTGCCAAGATACCCAAAGAACCTTTTCATATATGGTTGACTTTTGGCAATATCTATCATTGTTTGTTTCTTTTTCTGATATTGCTTCCTAATTCACTTAGGATTTAGGATTTCCATGTTATTTGGTTTTCGGTTTGCTTTATATAGGACTCTTATATTATAAATATAGGCATAGTAGGATCTTGTTATTCAGACATTCATCAATTATTATCAATTCTTCTTGGTATTTACCAATTTCTCTCGAGTTCCTTTTGATTCTTGTGACTTTCCAGGATAAGATCATAGCATCTTTTCCTTAGTTTTTTTGGGAACTATTCGTATAACAATTTCTTAGATACGCTTCTGCGTCAAATTTAATGCAAGAAATGTGCTAATTGATGTCAAACTATAAATTCCTACAAAAAAAGAATAAAAATATTATAAATGTCCTCAAATAACAAACGTTTTTCACCTTGTTGGTTCAGTGTAGATTTGGATCAATCTGTTCGATATAAATTATAAACTGTTTCAAATAAGACAGAATTATCTAACAACATCGAAGAAGCACTTTGTTTTTTTCCTCATCTGAGATGCATAAAAGCGGAACGAGCTGACAAATATGCATGCCGTCTTTGAAAGATGAATGATTTGGGCAGGAACTCGTATTCACACGTTGAAAATTGATCCGGTGCTTACATGGAGATGTAACCAAGCCCTTTGCTTTTTTTTTTTTCCCTAATAATTACGACAATATATTATTCTTTGAAAGAAAAAAATGTGTTGAAAAAAAATGAAAGGATGAAAATGCACATTGTTCTACTCAAATCACTGATGTTAGTTAATTTTCTCGAGGAACTATTTAGAGGTGGATTTGTGATTTAATTGGTAAGGTCGTTGGTCTTAGAAGGACAAGAATTGACTTCTAATTTCAACTTCCACATTTTTGGGCACTCAATTAAATACAACCACATATATTTTGGGCTTATAAATTTTGCATGAATAAATACAGCCACATATATTGGCGTGAATTACCCCTAAATAATTGAAGTGAAAATGTGAAATCAACTTTTTTTTTCTTTGTCTGATTACGCGGCTAAATGAACTTTGGTAAAACTCGGTATTTTATGGATTGCGTGTTATAGATCATGAAACTAATATCCGGGTGGCAAAGAAAAATACAAACAATTTTTCTTGGCCAATATATTGCAGGAGAATGGGACATACCAATCAATGTGTAAAAAATGCTCACTTGGACTTTCACTTCTTCAAGAGTAATAATTTGAACCAACTCGCCTTAATGAAGTTAGCAACCAGGTGAAGTATGAGGAGCAAGTTTGACTACAAATCAAAGGTTTTAAAAAAAATAAAGGAGTCATTTATTAAGGGTATTGGTATTGATTTTTGCATGAAATATACAATATTCTATCTACATGTAGCAATGCTTTTCTGCAACACAAGTAGCTGAGACCGAGAGTTTCATGAAAAATCATATTGAAGTGCACATTGTCCTCTCCCAAACTTTGTCTACCAAGACATCTTACTAAAGTAACTTTTCTGTGTATTTGGATTGCAATTTTCTAGAATTTTTGTAGAAAATGTACTATGACGATTTGATATATGTAAGGTAAAAAAGTAATTGAAAAATGTGTTCACAGAAAACGTAAAATTTTTTTATGGAAAATGGCTTTCCAAACAATGGAGTCATAGGGTTTAAAATTTGAGATTAAAAATGAGAAAAATATAGTCTCTAAAAAGGTACTGGAAATAATTGCTATTTCACACTATAATCTTGTCTATAGGAAAGAAAAACTTTCTGCATTAGTCCAATGTTGGAAATAATTGCTCTTTCACACTAGAATCTTGTCTATAGGAAAGAAAAACTTTCTGCATTAGTCCAATGTTTTGAAGCTCATATTGTACTTGGTCAAGTTCAGTGGTTAAGAATCGAGGATTCAACTGATTAAATAAGTACCAAAAAACCAGAAAATAGAATGATGTTATCACTATGACATAAGTATGTATCAACCATATACGAAGTTACATAGAAAAATACCTAACTGAAATAGTTAAAATGCAAAATAATGAGTTTAGAACTAAATTTATAACATGAATTTGACGAAATTATAAAAATAGAGATTCTAACTGAAATTTAAAAAGAATTATGAGAACATTTATAGTCATCCAAATTATTTCATATATAGTTGAAAATGAATACTACAAAAGCTTTGAATATCAAGTCAAGGTCAAGAGAATTCGAGGAAAAATTAATTAACAAAAATGAAAAACACACAAACAATGAAAAAGTTTTGTTTGACCTGTCTCGACATTCATCCGATTCTTGATTCAATCGATCTAGACGATTGATCCATTCAAAGTTAACAAGAAGGTGTGAGTCTATCTTCTCCTTCCCATTGTCCCAATATGTTAACTTGTTTCTCCCAATATTTTCTATACTCGATGGTTTTGGGGCTGATTTGAGTTTGTATATTACATTGACTTAGCTTATTTAGCGTTATTATTCATTTAGCATTTCTTTTGGGTGCATTTTCTTGGGGATGTGTCGGATTTAGGAATATGTTATTCTCTAGTCAAGTATTGGATCAAGAGATGTTGGTTCAGACAATTTTTATGCCACTGTAGAAATCCAACTTCGTCGTTACCTCCTTTTTCCTTAATGCTGAAATCAATCCTAAAAGCGTCATGTGAATTTCTTTCGACTTCTTTGAAGTCGTTGCAAAAGTTGCAAGTCAATTTTCCTAATATAAATTTGGGGAAGGCAAATAAAAAACGGCATAAATATATATATATATATATATATATATATATATATATATATATATCCCTTCTCAGAGTTTGTTTAAAATATTATTTTGAATAATTACTGTAATACTTTTTATGATATGATATATGTGATATAAAAGATGATTGAAAATATAAAAAAATGTATTACAAATGTATTTGTAATGCAAATAAATAATTTTTGTGCAAATAAAAACTATCCAAACACAATATGCAAAGTGAAAAATCTAGAAAGAGTGAATAGACCACTGTTGACCGAGTTGACCATATGAAAGTCAAAGCATGAGAAAAACCTTAAAACGAAAGACAGGTCAACGTACTGGAATAGATTAAACCATAGTTATTAAACCCGGCCCGGCCCAGCGGTCGAACCGGTCAAATCGGTGGACCGGTCATTGGACCGGGCCGGATTTGGAATCAGATCGTTTGTGTTAGGGGTGCACACCAATCGAGTAGCTTGAATCGAGCTCGCGAGTAGCTTGATTAGCTACTCGACGCGAGATCGATTTTGTTCGATCTCGAGTCGAGCTCGAGTAGCTCGAGTCTATGAAACGAGTCGATCTCGAGTAGTTAGGATGAGGCATTTTTAGCTCGTCGAGTAGCTCGAGTAGGGGTGCATGATCAAATCGAGCTCGAGTACTCGATCTCGAGTCGAGTACTCGACTCAATATTGAGCTCGTGTTAAGGGTGCAGGATGAAATCGAGCTCGAGGACTCGAGTACTCGAGCTCGAGCTCGAGCTCGAATGGCACGCCGAGCTAAATCGAGTCGAGTTCGAGCCTATTTATGTTACTATCGAGTCGAGTTCGATTTTTATTTCTCGAGCTCGAGCTCTGGAGGTCAGCATCGAGCTCGATCTCGAGTATGTCACTACTCGAGTTCGACTCGGCTCGATTTCACCCCTAGTTTGTGCAAAGAGACCGTTGACTTAGTCAACGACCCGGCGGTCGAACCAGATTAAACCGGAAACCCGGCCGGTTTTGTCACTAACCGAATTTTGTGGAAAAATTATATTGCTATTGTTGGAACTCGAACTTCGGACCTCTACCCCAACACTACCGCCTGCTTACCACCAAACTACTTCCATATATGTTGATATAGTAACTTTATTATGATATATAAATGTTTTTTCAATTCTATCTTTTTTTCTCTAAAACAAATTTATTTGGAATCTTTTAATAAAAATTTATTACCCTCCAAACTCTATAAGTTATAAAATAGATTCCAAAAATAACATATTACATAATTCATTTAAAGACAAATATTATTTTTAATAATTTTTTACACTTAAAATTCATAAATAAGCTAGATAATTACACTAAATATAGATAAAATTTTACACTTGAAGTTTGGTATATTAATAAATAACTTTATATTTGATTGATTCTTATATGAATTAATTATTTTATAACAAATTAAATTAAATGAGCTTTTGTTATGACATTATTTATTACAATTTATATCATATATCTTATATAAATAATTATGAAATATATTATTTAAATATATGTAGTGACCCCCGATTTAACCACTCACCCACCGGTTAAACCAATAACCCGTTGACCCACCTCCTTCGCCGGGTTCCTTCCTGGGTTGGGTTTAATAACTATGGATTAAACTAAATCAATTCAAATTGGCAAAAATCTATCACTCTCTCCTCCCTCTGCGTCCTCAAGAAGAAGCACCAGTAGCTGCAGCACCCCTCTTTCTCCAATCTCACATACTTTCAATCCAAATCCGAATTTCATGATGTTATTCTTCATCAAACCCAGAATAATTACAGCCCTTTTGCTCTTTCTCGTCGTCTCAATCTCCCTGCAAACTTGTCAGGTCAATTCCCAGTGCAGCAAAGGCTGTGACTTAGCTTTAGCCAGCTACAACGTCTGGCAAAACTTAAACCCCACCATAATCGCCCAACTTTTCAGCGTCCCAACTTCCACTCTCATCACCTGGAACCCGGTCAGCATCCCAGACGAGGATACAGTCCTTGAAGGGACGAGAGTAAACATCCCATTTCCTTGTGACTGCATCAATGGGAATTTGCTAGCTCATGTCTTCAATTGCAGTGTTTCATCGGGGGATACTTATGATATAATTGCGTCCCACTTTTACGCGAATTTAACGAGTACCACTTGGTTGCGGAGGTTTAATAGTTATCCAGAGAATAATATCCCAGATACTGGAGTTCTGAATGTTACTGTGAATTGTTCTTGCGGGAATAAGGCGATTTCCAAGGATTATGGGTTGTTCATAACTTGGCCGATAGAGGTTGGGGATACTTTGGAGTCTGTAGCTGCTGCTAATAATTTGAGTGCTGATTTGATCAGCAGGTATAATCCAACGGCAAATTTTACTGCTGGGAGTGGTCTGTTGTTCATCCCTGCAAAAGGTAAGCTTTTACAATTAGATGTTATCGAATTGGATTAATTTTATATACTCAGTCATGTGCAACATTTCTTTTTCCTGTGCAAATCCACAAATTGTTAATTTACTTGAGTGTTTAATTGTCCTTCCGTTGTAGCATCTACAAGTCATGGAAGGGAATCAAATTCAATTTCGGGCATTGTATCACATTGGCAAAACTCAATAAAACTTACTGGCTGAATAAGTTCAACTTGACTAAGAGATGGCATTGTACCAGACCCCCCCCCCTCTCCCGCCCAAAAACAAAAAAAGAAACAAAAGAAAGAAAAGGACAATCGTCAGTCTTTTATCCATATAGTTTTGAATAAATCTTTTATATACTGTTAGTGTAAACTCATTTTATACTAATGGTCAAGTATTGTATGCCAACTCATTAATGAAGGTGCGTAACTTGTTGGGTAACTAAGTTTAGCTTCTTTCATTAATGAAAAATATAAGTGTTTTTTCTTTTTTATAAGTGGGAGGTCTTGAAAGATATAAGTGTGGCTTGAACGGTAGCGCATAAAAGCCTTGGAATGGCTAATTTGGATAGGAGATTTTTTGGGATAATATTTTAAAAAATATTATAGCTTTCTTTTGATGTGATATATGTGATATAAAAAGTGATTAAAAAACGTGTTTATGATACAAGCAATAATTTTCCAAAAGTATTAAATTACACAGAAATTAATTAAATAGAGTTAATACAAACAAAAAAAATCAATAATTTAATAAAATTAGAGCTTTATCTCAACTAAAACTATGAAAACTCATGAAACTAAAGAATCAATTTTGAGAAAAACCTACAAGTCTATCCATCCATTGCCTTTGTTTTCATGCTTTTACTCGCTAAATGTATTTACTTTTTCACTTTCTGCAATCTGTTTCCACTTATCTTGCATGGTGAATTGAAGTGAAAATCACTTGTCCCAATTCAAATCTCAAAATTCATGCCTTTGTAAATCCTCGAAATTTTCTTTCTCTACATCTAATTACAAAGATGCATATCTTTCCATAGCTTGAAGAGAAAGTTTTTTTTTCCCATACATGATCCATGATTTCATGCCTCCCTAGATCCAAAAATTTTTCCCAAAATTTTCTTAGTTTACATCAGTTCCTCCATATTGATAAAAAAATCTTTTATTCTTATTTTAATTATGAAACAATCATGGTTGAGATCTATTAGTGGTTTGGATAATGCAAAAGTCAAATAGAAGCTGTAGATGCTAGAAGGTAGGAAATTAGAAGAGAAGAACAAATCTTTTGCAGAATTATTCGTGAAATATACTAGGTTTATTTTTAGAAGTAGTTTATTAAAAATAAAATGATTTTGATAAAGTTGTAAACTTTCTATAACATCTATCTAAAGTGAATTTATACTGACAGTGTATATAAGATTTATTTTATATTTTTTAGCATTATATATTTGGAAGACTAAATTAAAAAATCTTCTCACTTTATATGACTAAACTGAAGTCTTTAATTTAAATTGAGATTTTGTATTAGGGACCAAATTGATACTTTCAGAGTATTTCAAAGGACCAAATAGAAACTTTTCCTCTGAAAAAAATAGAAACTGTCGCGCCCCATTTTTTCGCGATGGAAAAAAGAAGGTGTTTATAAAAAGATGTGATTTTATTTTAAAACAAGTGACAAAGGACCTAGAATGGGACTTAAAAAAAATGCGACAATTTGGGTCCAAAATTTAGTCTAAAAGGGTTTTTTAGAAAAATAAGAGTCGCCACTTGGTATTGAGTTTTGGTGTACCAAGTCACCCAAAAATAAAGTAAAATAAAATAAAACCTTTTTGACAACTCCAGGTCTTTGAAAACAAGAGAAAATGGGTTCGGGAGTCACGGTTGAAGAAAGGGAAGGCAAAGGTTCAATTGACTCAAACCTAAGGCACCCTTTCAACCTAGTCTAAGCTAGTTGCGAGGTTTAGTCAAAATTTTCCTAATCTAACCCTTAATTTTATCATATTTGGATGTTTCCTATATGGATGCAAATCTAAATATATCGAAAGGGACAAAATGTTCATTCAAGGGGTTTAATTGAACCAATCGCATTAATTGCGAAGGCCAAAATGATTTCTTGAAAGTGTCACGAATATGCAAATGATGAAATTAAAATAAAATAAAAGAAATTAAATTATATACATATATATAAGTGATCAAAGAAAAGGAGAATGCAACATAAAGGGTACGGGAGGCAAAACTCGTGACATAATTTTCTTATACATGGATTAATAGGGTACTTAAACTAGAAAGTTATAATCACCCATTTCCCATGTTTGAAAAATAATTATCCTAACATGAACAAGCAAATGAACTAGTTTAAATGAGATGCAATTCTAAATGACATGATTAGCACCTATAGCGGGTAGGGGATAATATAATAGGGAATATCATGCAAATGAGAAAAGATCCTAAAAAATGAAAATATGCATGAAAATGTAGTGAATAGCATACAAAGATAAATCTAGCGCAAGATGACCTAAAGGGTCTAGCGTTGGACTAGTCCATTTCTAAAAGTCCTTACTAGCGTTGGACTAGCAAGTAAGCGGAGGGAGAAACCACAACTAGCGTTGGACTAGTGTGGTGACATCATGCATTAACAATTCATAGTGAAACAAATAAAGCATAAATTAAAACAAATAAACACATAAGAGCACGTAGCACATAACACGTAAACATAATATCTAGATGCCAAAATCCTAAGAAAAGCGGATAAAACACATAACACATAAGCCACATAAACACGCAACCTATCTATTACATCGGGGAGCGCCTAACTACAATCTAGAAAGGAAAAATATAATGAAATAAATCTAATTATCCTATCTATTACATTTTGAGGTATTTAAATGCCTCTCGAATCATTATAAAAATTAACTGAAACATATGTAAGAAAATTTGAATGAATATTTAAATCAAATAAATAAAGCATATAAAGATATATAAACACATAGGAACACATAGGAGCACATAAGAACACGTAATTGACATTGAAATAATAAAATAGGAGTACCTCCCGTTTGAAGTGGTGACTAAATGGAGTCAAATTGTCCTAATTATACTCACAATGAACAAAAGGATCATGGCACCAATTTAATTGAAAAAGAAAATAATAATACAAGCACTAAATTCGCACTAATATGTCAGACGTAAAGAAATTTAAGCAAATCTAAAAATTACAAGTTAAGTATATTCAAAAGTAGCATAATTAGCTATTAAAGAAAAGAAACAATCATAATAAAGAGAGTCAAAATTCATCAGGGACTGAATTGCAAAAATTGAAAAACTGTTGGGGACAGAAATTATATTTTCCAAAGTTCAGGGGTCACAATTAAATGAAAGATAAAATTCAAGGACCAAAATGCAATTAAATTAAGGACCTTAGTGAAACAAATTTAAAATGTTCTGGGCCGAAGTGAAACTACTCCAAAGGTCAGGGGCTAAAGTGAAAATTTCGGTTTCTGATTTGGGCAAGGAAAGGCCATCGGGCCATCATTTTATTTCTTTGGGCCGAACACTGCCTAAGCCCAGCTAAAAGTCCAAGCCAAACGAGCAGGCTAGCCCATCTTTTTATCACTCAAGCCCAACAAAAACAATGCATGGGCTCTAACCTTCTAACCCAACCGAAACCCAAAAAAATAAAACAAAACCCATTTCCAAAACCCAACCAAAATTAACTCTTGGCCCATCAGAAGAAAAACATTAGCCCAATTTCTTTTCTTTTTTCTTCTTTCTTTCTTTCCTTTCTTTTCTTCCTTCCCCAATCGTTTCTTCTTCTTCTTGTTCGGCCAGCTGAAGCTTCTTCAGCTAGTGGCCATGGAGGCTGCCGGTGGCGCCGCCGCCGCCGGTGACCTCTCCGGCCACCAAAAATCCTCAAAATACACCTCCCCACTCCATTTTTCGCGTAGATTCCATTTTCGGAGTTAGTTTTTACAAAAGATGACCCAAAAGTGGTCAAAATGCCAAGAAATCAGTTCAGTTTTTATTTTTTTTAACCCCTTAAACCTTCACCAAAAATCATGAAAATTATACTACAACACTCTTACAACTTCTACAATACAACTATGATTTTTTATTTGACAAGAAACAACATAAAAAGGCTAAATTAAAGCAAAAACAGCCCCTAAATGAAGAAAAATACTTCCATGCCTTTAAAGCTCAAAACTCCAAAATATTTAGATATCCCAACATTTTCAGATCTTTGCTAGTTAATGGTCACCCATTTTGACAACAACATGCACAATATTCAGCTTTTTAATCCGTTTTTCCATTTCGGCATTTTATCAAGCATTTAACATGCATTCACAGGCCCATTTCTTTTCCCTTAATGTCATTCGTGGATTACTCCAAAATTTCAACAAACACCAGCAGCAACAACAAGAAAACAGCAGGAACAACCAATAATACATGAATTCAACATGATAAATAGAAAAGATGGGAAATAGTTCAATGGAAGTGTTAATACCTCTTATGACCTTAGTTAAAATTTTGATGAAATTCCAATCTCCTCACGCCCGATTGCTTGCCTTCTTGTGTTTGATTCTGTGTGTGTATATTGGGAGAGGGAAGGGAGCCGGAAGGAGCTTTTTTTTTTCTTTCTTCTGTTTTGTCAGGGAGAGAGCCGAGAGATGTACATTGGGAGAGAAAAAGAGGAGCTTGTGTGTGTGTTTGGTCCAAATGATTATTTTTTTTACCAAATGACAAGAAAGTTGAGTGTAGGAATGGGTTAAGTGTATTTTGTGGGGAAAATGATGAAAATGTGTAAGTTTAGTAATAATTTGATTTTGACTTCATTTTTTATTTTTTTTTTATTTTTATTTATTTATTTTTTTTAGTTTTATTTTTGTTGTTGTTTTGTCTTCTTTTTTTTTTAAACAAACCTGCAAAATTGAGAAAAATGCACATTAAAATGCTAAAAAATAAATAATTTATTAAATAGAAAATTTTGAGAAAATATTAAAAATCGACAGAAATTTGGTGTCTACAGAAACTTTTCCAATTTCACTCAATTAAATTGAGATTTTGGAGTTCAAAGGACTAATTGAAATTTACCAATGGCCAAACTGGGCTAGTTGACTTTATTTTATAGTCATATTATCTGGGTCCCAGACTTTTATTACTATAGGACAGAGCACCCGGTTTCTAGTTTGTGAATGTTCTATTTAATACCACATGTGAATGTTTGTTGTGTTGTCTAGTTTCTAAAGGTTGAAAATGACTTTACCGTAAAAATGTTAGAAACTACTACACCACACCATTTTGTAGAATTTAGTTTTACCGCATGCATGAATAAATATGTATCACAGATCCTGGTGCCAATGATGTGGAGGTTTAATAGAATGATGACAAATCTTAACAGGGGATATTTCAAGGGGAAAATGTTAACATTTCAGTGTACAAGTCATTGTGACTGGTATGTGAGATGATACGCATAAAGTCTACAAGGCAATTGATAGAATTACTATCTGATAATTCTATGATGTTTGATGTGCTAATATGAGATAGCCCATTATCTATTGAATACACATGGATCATAGAATATATTTTGTACTTTGTTTAGTTTATATGTAAATGAATAGGTCTGCTGCATTTCAATGCGTTAGACTTTTAGTACCATCTCAAATCATACTACCATATATTCTTGTTTGTCACTTGAAGAGTTGTAGCTGTAGTTCAATTCGTAATTTTACGGTGACTTCAAAATGTGCTACCTAAACATTCAACTGTTATGCAGATCTAAGTGGAAACTATCGGCTTCTGCGTCAAGGTAGCATTGAGGTTTTTGAACTAAACTTCAATATGTATATTTCCAAATATTTATCATGTTAAAATCAATTATAATTCCGAACACTTATTTTGTTAATTCAATATATTATTCCATATTATGCTGCACAGGTGGTTCAATCTTCTCATATTGGTTCATTTTACCTTTATTGATTTCCAATTACCGCATGTACTTGAGGATTGACGTTGGAATTTTTGACATCCTGGGTTTTGCTACCTTAGGATCAGGATTGTCAGGTGGAGCTATATCTGGGATATCTCTTGCAGTAGTTGGAGTGTTTTTTTTTGCAGCTTGCGGGTATCTTCTTGTTTACAGAAAGAGGAAGGCAGAGAAAATATCACTTAAAGATCAATTTGAGCAACCTGCTTCTGGTCTCTCTCTCTCTCTCTCTCTAAGTTTAATATAGTATCTAAGCTTTAATCTGCAAATTTAAGATGCCTTTTGAAATTATTGATGTACTTGTTACTGATTCTAATAGCAGAAGTGCTATGGTAATCGAAAAGTTGAGAAATGAGAAACTGGTTGCATAAGAAGGGCAAATACCTTGAAGATTATTTCATTCAAATTTTATTTTTGACTTGGAACTAATGGTGTAAGATAAAATCAATTAAGAACTGTTGGGCATGTTATGAAAGAATGAGCTGGTAAGCTTGAATTCTCCATTTATTTATAGAGCATTTCTTTTTCTTTCGTATTAAATCTTATGATTCACTTAATATTATCATTTTTAGACCACTCTGCTGCATAGGTTTCTTTCTGCAAAATGATGACAAACTTATTCCGTCAAACTATCTCAAGTAGAAAAAAATTACTGTTTCGGGTTTCTGTAATTTAATATGCTTGAGCCAGAAGTCATTTTAGCCAAACTGTGGAGCTTGCAAACGTGATGGAATTTCGTAGTCTGCACACACAGACCTTGCATGGATGTTGTGTAATTTTTTGCAGATTTTATTTCTTTTTTGCCATTTGCATGTCACGATCCTAGTTTGAATGTGGCCAGACAGTTTTGGCAACTGTTATCTGATGCAAGTGACATCTAATTTTCTTTTTGTGGGGAGTATGATAGAGCATAATTATCTGTTATATTCCCATGATAAGATATTCATTCTTCTGCACTAGTGTCAATATTCTTTTACATTTGCTACACAAAATTGGAGAGCATGTATTTCATATTATTTAAATTCAACAGAGTGAGACGTGTACGCTTACTGAATTATGTTCACTAATTCAGAAGCATTTGCGTATTTTAAGTGTTTCTTTCCAGTACAGTATTCCCTCTATGCTGAATGTATGACTCCATTGATCCTCTTCTTCTCTTCATTGGTTGAAACCCTGAAGATAATGCAGCTAAAGCTCCAGAGTCTGTTAATGATGCTAAAAGGGATTCTCCAGGCCTTGGTGGAGTAGTTGTTGAGAGATCTTTTGAGTTCTCGTATGAAGAGCTTGCAATAGCTACTAAAGGTTTCAGTTTGGCTAATAAGATAGGCGAAGGCGGCTTTGGCTCTGTTTATTATGCTGAGCTTGGGGGCGAGGTTTGTTGATCTCTTTCTCTATACAGCAGCATAAGGAAAGATGAAATTGCTTGCACACATTCTTGTTCTTTCTTAGTTAAGTTCCTTGGTTACTGAATCAGAGTAAGATTTTTCACTTGCTCTTGAATGTAAGCTGTATGGGAATGAGCCACCTTGAATTTGGCAAATGATGGGTGGACAGGTTCCCTTGAAGCTCCCCTGGAGGATAATCTGGTCATGTTCATTTGATTTCCCCATAAAAGCAAGTTGATTATATCAAAATAAAAAAAAAAGGGTAGAGTATGAAATCAGATCTTCTTTTCGCACCAGTTTGCTTTTTTATTTTTTTGCAATTTATTTTTCTTTGCCTTCAAATTTTTGTTATCATGCACATAGGACAGTAGAAGTCAGACCCATGCAAACCACTCTATCTCTAAAAGAGACTTATGGTGGAGCTTTTGATTCCTTAACATGAAATTTTGTTTATTTAAAGAATTCAGGATTTCTTTCTCATACATATCTGTTTACTAGAAGACAGGCTGAGATCCTATCTCCTTGACCTCCAACTGAAAGGGCTAGCTTCTTTTCTATCAGCCACATCATGCTGAATTTAGTGATGCCTTATTTCCCTAAAATTCACGCCCACAGCCCTAGTTGTTACAATATTTCTTTTGTTCTTTATTCATGAAATAGCACTCAGTTCATATCTTCTAGTTTGACAATTGACAAGCTTTAAAGAAAGGTCGTGTGGTAGTGATCAGTGAGCAGCTAGTTTCAACAATATGGAGGTTGAACTCCTTAACTATGTAAGGTCAATGATGATCAGTGACAATTTCTAACATGGAATCAGCATTTGCTAGCAGATGCCTTATGAGTTGCCCTATCCACCATTAGCATAAATAATTAGGGGTAAAACACCTTTGTGTCCCTTGGTTTTCCTGTTAGTTTTAAGCCTTTCAAGATTGGAAAACACCACATAATAGCTGCTTGATTTTTGTCTCAACATTCAACGAAGGGCAAACACTTGATTACAATCTCTCTCTCTCTCTCTCTCTTTATTTTTTCCATTTTCTCAATCTTCTCTAAATAGTTGCCGGTAGGAAAGGTGGGAAAAATGGAACGAGAACAGTAGTTGAGTAGCTAGATGGAAGGAGGCCTAGGATGGCGTGGAGTTGAGATGTGGGGAAGTGGGCTTTGGGCAGATGGAGGGGAGTGGGGAAAGTGGTGCTTGGTGATATGGTTCCAGCCACATGCAGGTGGATGTGGAATAGTGATCTGTTGAAGGCAGGAGATTAGTGTGGGAATGGAGTTCACCAGGCTTTGGGTTGTTTTTATTTGTGACACTTTCATAGGTTGGTTTGATAAAATTGAATCTGAATTCTGAAGTCTAAATTCTGAAATCTGAATACTGAAACAATTAATTTGCTAAATTTTAATCACTGAAAAAAATATATGAATGTCTGAATTTTAATACTAATCTTATTTATACTATTTGATAAATATTTATAACTGAATGATTAATAAGTTTAATTTGACAATTTTTCCCTTATATCTTTTCATTCAAAAAAGAAATAGAACCTATGATTTAATTAGTTTAAAATTGTTAGGTATGAAAATGATAATATTTATTTTTAAATCAAATTAATATAAAAGATCAAATATATTATATGAGGAGTATGGAGAAGATGTGAAAATCATTAAAAAAGAGAAACAAAAAATCGTTAGATAGAGAATATCAGGTTGTTTAATTAAATAAGAATTTTGAACATAATTAACAAACAAGGGTAGATTTGATAGATAATATAAGGTAGTTAAAGTAATTCTATTGATTGTTATCAGAATTATGCATTCAGTTAGGATTTTTGTGCTGAAAAAAATAGCACTGCTTAACAAGTTCAGCGGATGGATTTTCATTTATCAAACACACAAAACATCTGAATGCCTGAAAAGGTTCAATTTTAGCACTTTTTTATGTTATCAAACAGACCCCTAGTATGCTGTTTATTCAGTTCTACAGAGTTGGGGATGGCATTAGGGGAGCAACTAGATTTTTTTTCCTTGGAATCGGACAATTGGTAGGGAGTAGGGGAGGTAGTAGGCGGACCACGTAAGGTGGAGGAGAGCATGCCATTAATAGGTATGATCCGTAAAGCAAAGACAAATGGCACGAATAGTTTTCAGTAACAACCGTTCTGAACAATATAACATTTTTTTAATAAGGTGTAATTCTACGTGAATTACTTGTAAAATTTAACAATAGAGGCACAATTATTACATATGGGATCCACATAAATAATAACAAAATATCACACCTCAATTGTAAGTAGGCATATCAATGGGTCGGGTCTTATCCAAATCCAATCCAGACCCACAAATCTAATCCAGACCCAATATATTTGGGTAGGGTTTGGATTTAATTTCTCAAATCCAGACCCTACCCAGACCCAGACCTGATGAGAGAGTCGTGGGTGTGGGTAGGGTCTGGTTTTCTAGAATCGATATCCAAATCCAGACCCATATATATTTAATTAAATAATATATATTAGAAAATTTATAAAATAATATAATATTTTATGGCTATTGGATCAAATACAGTAAGATTTTATGGCATTCAGAATCTGCAATTAATGTTGCTGGTTGGACGATTAATGAGACTCGTGCCAAATTGTTTCTAGATGTTGTTGAAACATTAGTGACTACTGATGATTGGATTGAATGAAAGAAAAAATGAGTAAGTGTTTATAAATCTTCTTATGCTATTATTTATTCACCATCGGTCTTAATCAAAAGATTTTTATCTCATTCACTATTTTAGTGTTGGATTGCGAGACATCTGCCACCATTGAGGTTTAAATAAGCAAAAGAGGTACAAAATTACATTTTTTCAATAAAACTAAATATTTATATATGTTATGGTTGTTTTCTTTTTTAAAAACTAATCCTAGCTATCATTGTAATTGATACAGACTTTTTCAAGAAAAGGAGAAAAGGTAAAGGCAAATAAATGAAATATTGTGGATGCAGTTGAATCTTTAAAAATATATAGAAGTAGTCAATAATAATTCTTTCTTTGAGTTCAAAATATTGCATTCAATTTGTTGAATGTTAATTTTATTAGTTGAAAACAAAAATTGGATGATATTTCTATTATTTATGAACTCTATATATTTTTAATATATTTTTACTTTAGTATTTTCAAAAAATACCCATGGATACCCATTGGATACCCAGATCCGTAAGGGTCTGGGTATGGATTTACTTTTTTAGAACCAAAAGGGTCTGGATTTGGGTCTGGGTCTAACTAAATTAAATGGGTCTGGATCTGGATCAAAGGGATCTAACCCAGATCCTACCCATTGACATGCCTAGTTGTAAGGATGTATAAGACGTTTACATAGAGTTATAAAACGTTCAAAAAATATTACATTGTTCAGGAACGATTAATAGATCAACCATCCCTGCCCTGTTCCTGCAAAGCAATACAAATTATTATTTTTCTTTTTTTTGCTTTTTTGTTTTATGTCTCCAATGTTTATAGAAGAATAAGCATGCAAGACGCATTACACGATTTTCTTGTCTTTTAAAAGTGGCCCAATAGATACATTAGCTGAGCCTTAAGATAGGTTATGGGCTATATGGTGTTTTACCTCAAGTCATCCTAGATTGGCCGTGAGTAGTTGCTGACAAGATATTCTGTTGTAACATGGTAGCTGATTATGACGCTTTTTGACTGCCTAATTTTTGCATACATATATGTACTGCAACATGTAAAGAAAGAATGTTAAACTGGTAATATGAGCACCATGAAATTCTACTTCAGGACTAAACTTTTTTTTTTTTTTTTCAAGATTGATGCGAACAAGGATCCATGTCTTTTTGTTCATACTTGAGTAGCTTCGTCATGTTATTTAGAGAATTCTCGAATTATATCGAACATGTCTCTGAATTACTGAATTCCTACGCTTTTTCTAGCATTTTATTGTCAGTGGTACACAATTTAACATCTCATATATACCTATTATGGTAACCCTTGCCTTATTTTTGTCCATTGTTGTACATGTGCCAAAACAAAGTTGGTTTTATTTCTTATTTTAGGTTTCTTTATGATAACTGCATGTATTATATTTTTCCTAACACCCAACTCTGGTGCAGAAAGCGGCAATCAAGAAAATGGACTTGAAAGCAAAAAGAGAATTTGTTGCTGAACTTAGGGTTTTAACACATGTACATCATCAGAACCTGGTAATAAACAATCTTATGCTTCTTGGATGTGTTTTACTTAGCTGTTGATTTTCTTATTTGTACGTGCAGAAATTATATCACTTTCACTCATGTAGTATTTATTTTAAGGGCAAATTACTACTTACCCCCCTATAGTTTAGTGCTTTATTGCATAACCCTCCTATAGTTTTAAAAGCTATACATAACCCCTCATAGTCTGGATTAAAGTGGCAAAGTGACAGAATTTGCAATCCATAACGGAGTCAACTAAGTTATCAAAAATATCCCTATATAAAGTTAAAAATTATTTATTAACCACAGGGGAGTTATGTATATATATTGAAAATCATAAAGCGGTTATATGTTAAGGCACTAAAGTATAAGGGGATTATATGGTAAAATATAAAATCATATGGGGTTAGAGTGTCATGCATATTACGTTTGTATGCATAAAACTTCATTTTAGTTTTTAAACAATGGTAATTTTGACATTTTCATAGATTCCATTACAGATAATCATTTCCGCCATTTTAACACTTTTATTCAAATTATGAGGGGGTTATATATAATTTTTAAAACTAGAGAGGGTTTATATGAACATTAGCTATACCACAAGGGGATAAAATGTAATTTGCTCTTATCTTAACATCCCGTCTACTCTCGATTTGAAAGATTTCAATACCATATGTTTTCTCCACTTCAGCATTTTGCATAGACTCTGTATTGAAACGCATGCATCTAACGGATTTCTTTTCCATCATGAGCTTTAATGAAGAAGGCAAACAATTCTCTGCAAATTCAGCTATCCGCTTATTTTCTCTTAATAAATCATAAGCACTAGAAGTAGTGCTATGGACTTTCCAAGAGTTTTGTGTATTTTCCTAGTCACAATTAGCTCATTCTAACTAGGAAAATACGCACGACTGTTGGTTTAAATGTTTGCTAAATTATACAGCAGTGATTCTGTTGCTTATGATTGATATAAACACACAGCACGATTGTTGTAAGGCCATATCTTAGACATGTGTTATTTTTTATTTGTCTTTTCAATATAAGCTGATAGTATTGGTGCTTTTGGCATTTGATACTAATCATTTGTGAGAAAAACAGGTGCGCTTAATTGGATATTGTGTGAAGGGTTCCCTTTTTCTTGTATATGAGTACATTGACAATGGAAACTTGAGCCAGCATCTTCGAGGATCAGGTAAGCTAGCAATTCGTATTTGAAGTCATGATCATTGTTTAAAGATAATTGCCACCATTCTAGCTAATTCTGACACGTTGTTTGTTATGCAAGAATTCCCACGGACTTGTAGGCTGCATGGTTGGATCTGTGTTTCTCGTATTTTCATACTTGCACTATTTTTCTATGGAGTAGCAAAACCCCAAGGCAGGCCTTTGCAAAGCTGGATCTATCGCAAGTGCATGAGTCTTGAAAAGTTTCTGATTGAAGGGAGAAGAAGGGGGAAGGGAATGGGCAGGGGCTAGGTGGGAATGCATCATTTCCTATGACAAAAAGTCTGTCATATTTACAAATTTTTCCTTAATGTTTTGTCATTTTATTTCATCTGTAAACATCCATGCATTTTTTTAGGTCATTCACTATACGTGAATATCATAAAATAAACTGTACGTCACATTAGAGTTACAATCATAATCTGCCTTTATTCACATTGCCGCATTTCATTGTGGTTGATGCATTCTTTATGAGCTGTATTTGTACTCAAATTAGTACCTACATCTTAAGATAGAAGTAAGATGTTTTAGGTGTTTAGTGTTTCTTACTGACAAAATCACCTTTTTTTTTCATACTGTGGCTATATAAGTAAAGTTTGGCAGGAGCAGAATATGTCAATTAGATAACAAAAGTGTATTTGGTATGGTGCCAAATGTTAATTGTCAATACATGGCACAACCTAATAAACATAAGAAATTAAACGAGTTTCAAAATCAAGGGACCAGTAATGTCAATCTATAGTTATTATTCTACATCTTTATAAACTCATTCAGTTCCTTTTACCCGTCCATCTTGTTACTCACAATTTTTGGAATACATCATCAGTTTTTTTTTATTTTTCTAGCGTTCCTTATTGGAATCACAGGTTTGAAGCATGGTTGTGTAGAGATAGTAATTCTTCTTAGCAGTGTGAGTGTTTCTTAAGATATCTGGATTGTTCTAGGGTGCGACACACTGTCGTGGTCCAGCAGGGTGCAGATTGCAGTGGATTCAGCAAGAGGTCTTGAGTACATTCATGAGCATACTATTCCTGCCTACATCCACCGTGACATTAAATCAGCAAACATTTTGATAGATAAAGATTTTCGTGCCAAGGTAGTGTCACCTGGTCCTAGTTCTATGATGAATCATGTAAAGAATCTCCAAATTTATGGCTTAAATTGTTTGTTTTGCAGGTTGCAGATTTTGGTTTAGCAAAATTGGCTGAGGTCGGAGGTTCATCTTTGCAATCACATCTTGTGGGTACATTTGGCTACATGGCACCAGAGTAAGTTTTGATTAGTTAATTTAGTACTACTGTTAACGTAACTGTGTCATTGCTATGTCAATATTAGGTTTTGCAAAGAATTTGTAGTGAAATCTGTTACTTAAATGCTTGCAGATAATTCCTTTTTCAAGTTGAAATTCCTTGATCCTCAATTTCTAGATAATTTTAACTAAGTTTGGCGTATATTATGCTACATTGCAAATTGAACATATTTTACCCTGTTAAATCTATCTCTGGTGTTTCCTTATCTTATGAGTTCCCTTCCTAAGAAGAGTCCGAATTTCAAAGCCCATAGTGAAAAAATTGTAACTGGTTTTCTGTCCATGGCTTCTCTTGTTTGTTCAACTCTTCCCGGGAATTTCCAGTGCTAAGGAGCTGTGTATTCAAAATTCGAGGAGAATGAGAAAGTTTTGACTTCTTTCTTTGTGTTAGTCACTCCCCAAAATCTAGTATCGTTTCAAGGTTTTGTCAGCTCTCGGAGGTGTGCAAATGTATTCCTTTCGCCCCACTATTTAGGCCTTCCTTGTTCTTTCCTGATGTGAAGGAAGAGAACAAGGCTTGGCTTAAAAAATATACTAGGGAGAATTTTTATAAGCTAGTCGGATGAAGACAGTAAAGTAGTTCTTCTTACATAGTCTCAAACATACAAGTTAATCACGTGCCATCACATCTGAAGTACTGTGACCTCGTTCCTAGAACTGTCTCTGGGATTATGCAGTAGTTCTTCTTGAACTTAAATTTGAAATTGATTTTCAAACCTTGAAATTGGATAGGAGCAGAATTTGTTGGATTTGAATTAGCATGATTTAGTAACAACTAGTTACTAATTGATTAATGATAAGCACTATTGTCAAACAATAAAGAGATATTTGCTACTATCACAATATGAAAATCATGCCAATTAACTCCCAACTACTATTGAGAACACAGAAATATGAAGTCCACTATGTGCTCTAATTCTGACTCTTGTGGTGTCCCAATTGCTGGCCAGCATGAACAGTTGCCCAAAACCCACTTTGTGCAATATAAAACTTTTTGCTGTAACTTGTTCCTCATTTCATCCTTCAAATTAGCTTTAAATACAGTATTCCTCTTCTGAGGACCTTCAAGAACTTCATTTTGATAAACAGCTCAAGGAGTTCCTGCACATAACCATTCACAGACGTGTTTCCTTGCTTCAAATAAAGCATCAATTAAAAGTCTAGCAGGACTGCAATCTATATGTCTAGGATTATAGAATCTGCCTTTAGAAACTTCGTGAAGTAAATAGTTTTGATTCCAGAATGATATAGTAGTAAAAGTAAGGAACCATTCCTTAGGACAATTGTTATCAGTCAAAACCTGACAACTGACGTTATCTTTGCAAAACATCACAATTAGCTCCATGTCTGCCACTAGTTGATTATACTTGATGACATGAACTAGTTTCCTATGTTAAATCACCAAGGCACATAAATAAAAACAAACTTCTCCATTATTGTCTAACTAGAAGAGTCCTAGTCCTTCAAGTAAATGTGCTAAAAATACTTGAAGTAGGAAACTGGTTAAGTGTCTACTCGGGACTTGGCATAGATGTTAAGTTTAAATAGCTTGGGCCTGATCTGATAGATAATTTGTTGGGGTTTGAAATTCTCAATTAAACTCATTCGTCAAGCTGGAGAAATTTTTGGCACAAAAGTGTCCTTTTCTTTGGGTTGGTCCCTTGCTGCTTGTGCCTTTAGTTTCCAAGACCGGAATTGACTTGGTTTGGAGGACTGTAATAAAATAAAAAAAAACTCGTTCTTATTAATGCCATAACAAAAGAATCTTGAAATTCATATGTTCTCTCCTTATGATGCTCTAGACAGGCAGCCCTCGGATCCACTTTTTCGAGTTATGGACACTTAAGGCGAAGTGTATGCAATGTTCGATTATGTGCAGAACATAAGTCTCTGTTTTGGGCTCATACATTTTGCTTTTATTCAGGAGAAGTAATTAAAAGTATGGCTTGGTAGCAGCAAAACTTTTTTGTGTATTTTCTTTTTAATGGATTTATTATAACTATTACTTGCTAATTGTCGATATGAAAATGATGCCATATCAGATTCAAGCCATATTTAATTTGTTAGGCATCAAAAGTGAAAGGGTTCCAGCTTCCTTGTATAGATTTTTTAATATGTCAAGATACAACTATTGCACCAGTCCTGCCACTCTGATCTTTGCATTTTTAATACCTCTATTGGCTATTGGATTCTCTATGATGCTTTTCACGTAGAGAAACAATAAGTCCCCCCTTTTTTTGTTCTCTCTAGAGCAAGCCAGTCACTTTTCATGGATGGAATTCTTGCTGGTTTTATCTGATTTACATGGCATGAAGCAATAACAACCTTCATTCTACTTTTGTGCAGGTATGCCAATTGTGGTACTGTTTCTCCTAAAGTTGATGTCTATGCCTTTGGTGTTATGCTTTATGAACTAATTTCAGCTAAGGCAGCTGTAGTTGATGGAGGCTCTACTACTGATACTAAGGGCCTTGTTGGTTTGGTAAGTTTATATGCATAAGGAGGCAAATTTGATTGCTATATGCACTAAAGTTGGATATTAAAAAAAAAAGAAGAAAGATTCTATGTTAAACTATATAAAACTCTTCATACCGACCTCCTTGACTTGAGAGCTTTCCATATTTGTATCCGTAAACTCTTCAGAAATACGGATAGCTCCCAAGACTTTAAATTTACTTGGTGGCTGTTTGTTGGCTTGTAAATTTCAGTTTCTGAGGACCTAATAATTTTGTTGCTCATATGACAGTTTGAACAAGTTCCCATAATACCGGATTCAAATGATGATCTTCGCAAACTGGTTGACCCGAGACTTGGGGATAATTACCCAATCGAATCAGTCAGCAAGGTAAAAATTAGTACATGACGACTTGAGCACTTGTCCTCTTGCAACTGTGTCTTTAGTTTCTTAAAGAAAACAATTCGGTTGATTGCAGATGTTTCAGCTAGCCAAACTTTGCACACATAAAAAACCTGAATCAAGGCCGAGCATGAGATCTGTTATCGTTGCATTAATGGCATTATCATCCCCCAAAAAGGATTCTAAGATTTTTGTTCCTCATTTAGAAACTGAGATCTTGAAATACGAGTATTCCATGATCAAGTCTATGGAAACTGAAGTTCTGGGATCTGAGACTTTTACAGTTACATCTGTGGAATCTGAGGCTTATACAATAGAAGAAGGAATTGAGGATTAAATGGTAGTTGACGTGAACGAGATATGTGGCTGCTCAAATTTATTTTTTCATGAAGAAGAAAAATTTTTGAAGTGAAACGAATGACCTACGTTGGTAAAACAATTGCAAAACAATCCTCACCGGGTCTTGCAACTAATGTCTACAAGATAAGAGGTGAGAATGTGCAATCACAATATCAAACTCACATTCATTCATGCCCGCCCTCCGGGGTTTGGTCTGGTGGTTGAGATTGCTGAAGATGGAGCCTTGGGTCCTGGTTCGATCCTTGCTGCCAGCAAGTTGTGGAGGGTGGAGAATAGTCTGCGGGGTCCACTCCCTGCGGGACACCCCTTAAAAAAAAAACCATTCAGTGTTAAAGATGGTTTCAAATGAATACTTTAACATAAAATTTTGGTGCCCATATGGGATTTTTTTTTTTGGGTGCCTATAGGGGATTTAAACTCAATCTCTTTTGACTTTACAAATCCAAGAAAAAATAAATGGCATGGTATTGTCCCTCGAATAAGGGTTAAGTAACAACTAGGAGATGTATAATAATGCAGCAAATCTGAATAAGTTTTGGGAGCAACATCAAATAACTTACTCAGATCATTTTTTTTTTTTACCCTTTGATCCCCAGATAATGTGTTGAATAGTTCTGATGTATTACTATCGAACTTTATGATATATGCTAAAATTTTTTGTTTTTAACTTTATTAATGTTGTGCGTCGGATTTATGATGAACCAATTTACACCTTTGTAATTAAATCTATGTTTTGGAAGAAGAAGGATATCAATTCTCACTTATTTAATCCATCAAGAATAGCTGTTAGGCTTTTTCATCCTTTCTAAGGTCCCTTTTCTTTGATTATTGCATTTTACAGACTAATATATATGGCATCAACGTTAAATCTATGTTGTTCTCGGCTTCACACATGCCAAGTTTAAGTTTCATTAACATGTGATTATAAACATGAAAAGATTAAGAAACAATTTTTGTGAGGTTTCGTTTATTCTGAAAATTAATCTTTTATACAACCAAATTAATTTGGCCCTACTGTCCATAACCATTCCACATTACATATAAGTTTGATGAAGATAAAAAAAAGACATTTCCAACTAAAAGGAAAAAAAAAGTTTCTCTCACATAAATTAGCATTTTGAACCCCAAAATGATGATTAATTGATTATTTGAATGCCAATTGAAAAAAATTGTGAAATTAAATAATGGGAAAAGAAATCCAAAAGGTTCATGTTACATTTTTTCTCAAAGTTTTGGCGACGTTTTATAACATGTTATCAGTACAAGTCTCTACTTCTGAGTAAAAATGAAACACGAGTTTTTACCTCGGGCGAAAGTGAAGCACGAATCTCTACTTCGAATGATTGTTCAACACATTTTCGATTCTTAAACTCTCCTTTTGAGTACAAGTGCATACTGCTGAGCAATCACTAAACACAAATATATACTTTTTGGTATCTTTGAGGTAATATTTCTTTTTTCTATTCTACTTATTTATCTTTATTATCGGGAGAATTATTTATTATGGATATTAGATGTTAAAATACATTTTGATGCAACGAGTTCTGGAGACACTATTGTCGAAAATCAATTATGCTTGAGAATCCACTTGTCCTTTGAAATAATTAAAGAAAAAGATTCAACTGCCTGAAGATGGTTGTTCTTTCAAAAGATTAGTATGGTAAATTTACCTACGGTTGCAAGAACATAATTCTGTAATGTTCAGAATTACTTCTCAGTTAAAATTGTGTAAAGAAAACATTACTCACGAAATATGTTAAAAAAATATTATCCACACTTGATTCCTCGAAAATGCTCCTGTGGCAACAATGTCAAGAGAAAATTTTGAGAAGTATTCTGTACTTATTGTAAATGAATACAACAATGAAAGCCAACCAACTAGCTCTTGTCCATTCTCAAAAATGAATTTGACTAAAATTCAACTTGTTAATTATGGTTATGGTTATGGTCATGACTATGGTTTTAATAAAGATGTATCTCATCATGGTAAGATAAAAAATTACCACGTGAAGTGGAATGAGAATGATAAGGACAAGAAAATAAACATCTTGAAAATAAATGTCCCGAAATATATTTTACCAACCAAAATTATAAAACATCTTGACATGGTCAATTTCTTTAAACGCTCTAAACGTGTATGATGATCGATTTGATTTATAATAGTAATACTTATATTTTCTTCTTGAAGAAATGGATACCAAATATTTGGGATCAAAGTATTATGGTGATGATATTTGTCTCACAAGAATTATAGTGATGATGATATGTGCCTCATTAATAGTGTTACTATGCATACTATACTTAAAAATAAAAGATGTTTTTCTTATTGGAATTCATAAGTTGTAGTCCTAAAATTCATTGAAAACTCCGAAAGAGCCACTGCAGTATTTCTCCTCGAAGGAAAAAAAATTTGTCATAAATGAAGCATTACTCTCTCCCAAGTCTCGAAGAATTTATTAAATTTTAAAGATATCCACCAAAATGAACATCAAATCAAGGAATTAATGAGACAATAATAAATATCATGTTTAGAAATCAAGTGAGACAAATGTTGGTTATATCACAATAACCATTCGAGTGAGAAAAGGTTATCGATATAATTATCTTCATTCTCATTTGGTTCATAACTAATTCAAAATCATCACTCATTGTAAACTAGTAGTTTACTAATTTCAATGGATTTATGATTTGACAAAAAGTGAGAATTTACATGATTTAAAAGCTAATAAATGCTCATATATACCCCTTTATATTATATGTGGTTCTAATAGAAATTTGAAAATCTATGTCGGGTATAAATCATTGTTTACAATTAAACAGAAATTTGATGGGTGATCTATATATTGAATAATTTATTGATGAACTACAATTCCCAACATTAGGGGGAAGAAATGATCGGTCAAAAAAGGACATCACTTAAAAAATATTATTGGATTTTCTTAATCCTTATACAAAATAATGTGAACTGGAAGTTCAAAAGATTATCCGTTTGCACAAAATTGCAAATCAATTGTCAAATATATTGACTCCAGAAGAATTATTAAAGCAAATATTCTTGCAGGAAATAATTTGATTAAAATTGATGTCCCTGAAAGATATATACAAGTGCTACAAATAAATTTAAGGTTGGTCTACCTAGATAGACATTTTGATTTCAAATATCTCTAAAAATTAAATAAATATCATGACAAAATTCAACTTCCTAAAGAGTTAACAAAGTTTACTCCTGAAGAGAATGAAATCATAAAAAATTTAAAGTGGGAATCTAAACGAATATAAATAAATATTTGTACATATAGCATAGCACTTGATATCATGGAAGAAAATGAGGATCATGAATATATATTGATTGATGAATGTCGACATAGAAATGATTGGCCAAAAGGGAAAGATACGATTCTATCAGCATCAAATTCATTGGCACAATAAAAAGTCTTTGGACCTATAGTCCAAAATACCCAAAAGGTGCAAAGCTAGTGGGCTATAAATAAAAATAAATAAAATTATGAGATATAAAGTAAGACTTGTAGCCCAAGGATCTTTACAAAGACTTGAATTTGATTATGACGATACGTATTCACTTGTAGTAGATGCGATCATATTTAGGTATGTTGTATTCACCTGTAGTGGATGTGATCACATTTAGAATATCTTGTGAGTTAGCAGTGCATGAACAACTAGATATGTGTCTATTGGATATAGTTACTACTTATTTATATGAAAATCTTGATAATGATATTTACAAGAAAATTCCTAAAGGATTCAACATGCCAAAAGCACGCAAATCAAATTTTAAAGATATTTATTCTATTAAACTGTAAAAGTCTTTATATGAGTTTAAACAATCTGGACCTATGTAATATGACCATCTCGGTGAATGTTTAATTAAAGAAAGTTATACCAATGACCCAATATCTTCATGTGTTTTTATAAAGAAAAATAGGTCAAATTTTGTAATTATTGTAGTATGTGTTGATGATCTTAATTTGATTGGAATTCCTGAATAGTTCCAAAAGGCCGTTAAATATTTGCAAAAAAAGAATTTGAAATCAAGGATTTTGGAAAGACTAAATTTTAGGGAAAATTGTTCAAAACGTCCCTCACATTTTGTAAAATAACTTTTTTTGTCCTTCGCTTTTAAAAGTATACTTTTACATTCCTTACAAATTCATATTGGTCAAATTTCGTCCCTATCTAGATTTTCAGCTATTTTTTTTATCGGAATCCACCACGTGCCTTGCACATGATCATTTTTGAAGGGCAAAATTGTGAAATCAAAATTTACATAATCTGATCTATAATCCCTCACATTTAACAAAATCAATTTTTTGTCCCTCATATTTCACAGTTTCTGATAAGTGCATATTTTATGTGTTTTAAGTGTGTTTTATTAGTTAGTTTTGGTGTGTTTTATTTAGTTTTATAGCTAATTAACTACGATTTTAGTGAAAATATGCATTTTATGGTTTAAGTGGTAAAAATTGCATTTCTATGGATTTTAATGGTGAAAACTTCAAGTTTTTGTAGATTTAATGATTCAATTATCAAATGGCATGAATTGAGAAGATAATTAGATGATTATTGATGATTTGAAGTGATAAAAAGAGAATATGAAGTGCAAAATGCTCAAAGGATGAAATGCAAGTTTTTCAGCTTTGATATCTTGTGATATTTTGGCTATATCTTGAGTTACACGCATCGGATTGAGGTGATTCTTATACATTTTGAAGCTATGAGATAGATTTACATTTGGTATGAAAACATCAAAATCCAGTTCAATCGTTTTCCTTGTCAAAAAGTCGAAATACAGAAGTGCAATTTCATTGTCAAAAGCTGAAACAGAAGATTGATGAGTCGAGGGTATTTTGGTCATTTATTGGTGCAAAGAGCTCCAAATTGGATGATTCTTGATGCATTGGAAAGCTAACGCAAAGGGTTACAACTTTGATGCTTTACAGAAGAGCTAGTTCAGCCTCT